ATTGGTCAAAAATTAGTAAAACAAACAAGAAAATATAGCAAATGGGTAGACTAGACATTAATTGAAAGCGTCCTGCCATTTAAAGTATGGAATGAAATATAATTCATGTAAAAAATTGTTGATTTTAACGGACACGACTTCGAAATTTTTTGCAAAATTATTCAAAACAAAAATTCAAACTCAAAAGTTAAGAAAACTCTCGAAAAGTTAAGCTTCTTAACCCACTCAAATTGTAGAATAAATCCTAAAGTTTAATTATTGTGAACACGAAAATTTTTTATATTTGGCGACAGTTTTTTTTAAAGAAATGTATCTCAAACGAAAATTCGGTAATGGTCGTTGCTTAGTTGATAAACAAAATGTTTCAGACGATAAATTTGTCAACAATCACCTTTAGTTCATATTCTTGTACAATACACTTTCTTGAACCTTCTGGCTGTATTTATTCCTAGTTTTTAGAATGACATGGTTATTTTTGCGCTCGAAATCTGGCTGTAAAGACGCACAATGAAGTCACTCCTTTTTACCGCCATTTTGAGCCTTCGGAAACGTTCGGAACAGCTTCTCATCAAGTTCGCAATACTATTACGGGTAAGGTGGACGCATGCGCAGACGTTTTTCCGCGGTGTTGGGTTTTCCCCGATTTCCCCCGTAAAAACAACAAAATAAAATCACGGAATAAAGATCAAACCTTTGTAATATTAACGAATAAATAAACACACATTAAATATTGTTTAAAATCATTGTACATTTTGCTTGATTACACGTAAGCGCGACAGCTCATTTGTGCAGAATCACAAGGTCAAATATACGACCTTGAAGAATTGCGCTACATTGCGTTTAACGTCGAAGCCGCAGATTGTTTAATATTTTCGTGCATAATTAAAACAAGGCAAGAGCCAAGAGGTATATATTTAATACGCAGTCACATATATCGACACTGAGACCGAGTTGAATTTATATTGACAATTTTCGATCGTTCCTTTTCGTGTTATAATTTCGACTAAATCATTGCACTTTCCGCTTATTATGATATAAAATGTCGTCAAAAATTTGAGTAGAAATTTGTATACATCAAGGATAAAACTTTCAATTGAGACCCCGGCTTGACGTGAATCGACGACAACATGAATTCACTGCTCTGCAAAGTCACTCGTTGCCGTCTATAAACAATCCCAGTAAATCGCTGCCTTGGCTCACGATAGCCCCATAGTCAAAGTTCCCTTGGCTATTAGTAAAACCAGGAACACCGGAACAAGGAACACCGGAACACCGGAACAGCATCATTCCGGAACACGGAACACCGAAACACTAAAAATTCTTAATTTGTTAAAAATTCGAAAAAAAATTACCGGGGGGTGTGTGAAATTATTACTGGAAAAGTTATTGCGTAAAACATGCATGCTTTTTAATAATATTCTGACTTGCCGATAAATTACGAACTGAAATCAGTCTCAAATTAATAAATATTTGCCAGAAAAGAAGAAATCAAACCTAGAATTGTTATTGTAATGGCTATCTTTCAGTTGTTGTTGAAAACATGACCTTTGCCTTTGGCCGGCTTTCGGTCAATATTAACAGACAATATTGTAACAACAGTTGATTGGCTTCCTTGTTTTTACAAACTTACTTATGAAGTTGAAAAGGATAATTTTTATCTCTCGTTCAAAGTTTGCCTTTATTTTAGCATCACTTACAATTCTTTAATATACGTAATAGCAACTTGATCTTTCTCACACAACACATAAGCAGCGATGGAAGGGAAACTTTTAGCGTGATAATAACCTTTCGCCGTTTCGGTCAATCAAAACGGACAAAAATACAAACAAATGTAGGCCTTGTAAGTCATAGCTATATTCCTATAAATAATATTTCAACGCACGTGTGTCTATTTGTCTATTTCTGTATGTTTATTTGACTGTAAATTAAATTGACACTCACTTACGTTAGGGAACATTTCACATTTGGAGATTTAGTACAAGTAAATTTCCTATACGACTCTAGTCTCTATCCGCGTTTTCGCTTGCCCAGACGCGGTACTGATATATAGCACGAAAGATTATTGCATATACTAAATTATGCCATTTTAATATAGGATGCGCCATTTTTATATGTATAAACAATAACTCAATAAGTTGATTTTACAACTTGTATTTGAATTTGATATTTTGAACGAATATTAATATTCGGTCCTCATCACAGAATGCTAAAATTAATGATCTTCATTATTTTTAAATTTTGTTTTCCATTTTTATATACTCAATGTCAATAGGCGGAAGTTGAAAATTGCACATCTATCTTTCAAATGCAAGTTGTAAATTCAAGTTATTGTATTTATGCCCCGTCGGGTGTGACCTTTCAAGTCATATATTATGTTTGCTATATCATTCTAGCCGGCCTACAATGAATCTCATGCAGAGCAAGCCAAACCTTGAATATAGTCATACAACACTACTCATACTATAAAATTTCCTAGTGTACAAAATTACCTACTGAATTGTGGGTCAGCTAATAAATTTTGAACATGGTGAAGTAGACAAATAGACACACATGCGTTGAAATATTATCTAATCAACTGTTGTTACTATTTTGTCTGTTAATATTGACCGAAAGCCGGCCAAAGGCAAAGGTCATGTTTTCAACAACAACTGAAAGATAGCCATTTATTGTTAACAGATAACAATTCTAGGTTTGATTTCTTCTTTTCTGGCAAATATTTATTAATTTGAGACTGATTTCAGTTCGTAATTTATCGGCAAGTCAGAATATTATTAAAAAGCATGTTTTACGCAATAACTTTTCCAGCAATAATTTCACACACCCCCGGTAATTTTTTTCGAATTTTTAACAAATTAAGAATTTTTAGTGTTCCGGTGTTCCTTGTTACGGAATGATGCTGTTCCGGTGTTCCGTGTTCCGGTGTTCCGGTGTTCCTGGTTTTACTAATAGCCAGTTGCCTTTGTATTTACAATGTTAAAGAGCAGGATTATTCGTTAATATTATAGTTTTACCCGTCTTGTAAGCCATCGTACTGATTTTCTGTGCATTCTCCAGGAGAGTTAAGTTTTCACCCACACAGTCTTACCACTTTGTGTACACCCAGCTATGATGCAAGTAACTGACGGTTCTTTACTTCAAGTAAAGTCTTTTTTAGGTAATCAAGTTGTACTTGATTTTTTAATTTTGTTTGTTACGTAAAAAGTTGTATTATTGCAATGAAATAATTAATTTTTCTGTAATGCGGTGAAATAAAATGAATAGTTTTAGTCAAAATTATATATTTCAGAAATGATTACGTTAAACCAAAACTTTTCATGTGAAATGTTTAAATTAAGCAAAATAACATGAAACTTTTGAAAAGTGTCAGATCTCAGGATATACTGCATGAAGACAAAAAAATAAATGTCAGATTAACCTTGAGATATAACGGTCTATTGCACTATTTCAAAAGAGAACAACAAGGAAAGTAAGACCGAGAGAGATTTATATGATCCAACTTTCCCGGGACGATATATGAGGCGGGATAGATCGTAATATAACCATTTTGTTGAAATTTTGTTGAGCAACAACATTCCAGTTTCTTTGAACGCCATTTTCTAGTATATCTAGTGACTCATCATCTACCGTCCTTCGACAAAGCAGTATAATGTAGAAAGACCTTAGACAGAGATCGATATACCTTAATTGTGTACAAAAAGGTACGTGCCACATTGCGAAATTGAAATATATTGAACATTTCCATCTATTGGTTGGTTTGACTACATAACCACTATCGTGCAGCAGGTGTCGTCAAGCAGCAGCTATCAGAGTGAGAAAAAGTTAATTATTTTCATTATCTGAAGTAGTCTCGTATATGGTGACCACATAAATAAAATTGAGAAATAAGGCTCGACATTTCTGAGTCTACCATCAATCTTATGGCTCTTACTAAATCCCACCAGTTGAAATCTGCAATAGTTGAATTTGGTATGTTGGAGGATGTAGACATGATATGACATATTCACATCGACGTGACCATGCAGAGGTGGAAATTGTGTGCACCACATGGAAAATCTCTGACCAATCCGAAACAAGTGCATTATATTTTCAATCAATCAATCAATCAATAAACTTTATTTACAGAGGGTTAAAAATATTACATAGCTAATATACCTGGTAAGTCAAAAGACTTATCTTCCTCAGGGCCCTCGCTATTTTAGTTAAAAATATGAGTTGAAGTTATTTACAATAGAGTGAAATATTATCAGTTACTAGTTAAAAAATAATTTGTTAAAAATTTCCTCTTAAAGTCGTTTAGAGATACACTTTCTCTAATGTTTGAACTTAATGTGTTCCATATCTTTACACTACTGTATCCAAACGTATTTGTATATATCTGTTTATGTTTTCCTGAAGGCAAATACAGATCATTTGCACAGCTTGATCGGGTTGTCTTTGTATGAACTTGTCTGACAAACCTAAACATATTTGTCATATAATCCGGACATAAATAATTGAGATTTTGTAGACCATAATAGCTTTACGGTACTTAATACGATCCTCGATAGGCATCCAGTTTAATGTTAAAAACATGTCTTTACTGGGGTAACGATTATCCGTGATGTCTAAAATTACCCTGGCTGCTCTTTTTTGAGCTAAATTGATCTTCTTAACATGAGGTGAACCACCCCAAACAATGGAACAATAATCCATGTGTGGAAGAATGTGCGCATTAAAGATTTCCGTGTCTGTAGCGGTAAATATCGTTTAATTCTACGAAGTAGAGTTATACTCCTATTTATCTTTGAAACAGTGGTGCTTATATGATCCTCCCAGGACAAATTATGATTCATAGTGACGCCAAGTAATGGTTTTGAAGTAACGTTTTCCAGTGCTATATCGTTAAGGCTTACACACAGATCTTCATTTTGTGGTACATGAAGCCGTTTTTGCCAGGATGTTATGAGCATGCACTTCGTTTTGTCTGTATTTGGCATCATTTTGTTGTCATTACACCAATTTTAGACCTCATCCATAGCTTGATTTAAGTTTTCATTGAGTTGGTTTATGGTTTTCGCAGATGTCGTGATGGTAGAATCATCCGCATACATATCTATGTCGCCATGTGGGATAGACAGTGGCAGATCGTTAATAAAGACAATAAAAAGCAAGGGGCCCAGAATAGATCCCTGAGGAACCCCTTTCGTCATAGGTAGTTTGGAAGATATTTTACCATTAACAGATGTACTTTGATATCTGTTTTGTAGGTACGATGAAAACCAATTTACAGAATTTGTACTGCATTTATACATTCGTAGCTTTTGTAGCAAGATACTATGATCAATTAGATCGAAAGCTTTACGGAGATCTAAAAGAACGATTCCGTTCATATATCCTTCATTTATTGCTTTAGCCCACTTGTCAATCATGTAGGTAATAGCTGTTTCACAGGAAAATAAAGTTCGAAAACCAGATTGAGCTTTATGCAGCAGGTTGTTTGACTTTAAAAATTTGTAGAACGAAATATGCACATGTCTTTCAAGTAGTTTCGATAGTGTGGGTAAAATTGAGATGGGTCTAAAAAATTTTCTAAACAAGAAAAGCTGATTGATTAAAATTCTTATATGATCTATATTTGATTGATGAGAGTTTTGTGTGTTCTTGTCGCTGAGTTATGTGATCGAGAGTAACAAACCGGAAAATGGTCGGAAATACTTATTGTTGCCACTTTAGTTGCCCGTACATGCTCTGGGTTAGTAACATAGATATGATCGATGCATGTTTTTGACGAATTCGTAACTCTAGTTGGAACCTTTATGAGTTGAGTGAGGTTGTACGATTCCATAATATCTACCCATTGTTTAGGAATTGAATTAGGTTTAAGGAAATCAATTTTAATGTCACCCATAATGATAATTTCTTTTCCTTCGCAATATGCATTCTCACACATGTCGATAAAATGTTCATACCACAACACAGGTGCTTTAGGTGGTCTATAAATTGTAGCTACAAGTATTGGAGACGAGTTAGGATAGGTTATTTCAATCCATATTGCCTCAAGATTATCATGTCTGAGATCTATTCGCTCGTCAAATGGTATATTTTCTTTTACTAACATAGCAACTCCTCCCCAAGTATCGCTAACACGATCTAACCGAGAAGCCAATTTATAGCCGTCAATTTGAATATCTTTATTTATAAAGTTTTGGTTTAACCAGGTCTCGGACAGACCAATCACACTTGCTTCATTTGGTGAATTTAATGTCAAGCGAACTTGGTCCAAATGAGCATTGAGACTTTGTACATTCCAGCTAACAAATTTTAATCCAGAGGGCAGATCAGCAGCGAGAGAGGGAATATTTTTGCTATTAGCCGTAATCGTGGGTGTCTCATTTAAATTTGAGTTTAACGCCGTACAGGGACCACGGTTTAGTTCAACGTCTCCCGATAATAACAAACGCCGAAAAGCAAAGGAGTTACTATAGTACTTAACTGGGCATTTTGATCTTTTTTCCTTCGTATGAACAAAAAGTATACAAGAGTTTCTATCCCAAAATAGGATATATCTCATATCTATAACAACAGAGTTTGATATATTTACCGCATGAAAAGACATGTAAATTTCAGCGTGGTAGCAAGTGCATTGAGGCGATACATTCTGTTCATGACCATCTATATATTTCGATAAATACTCCTTCCCTGTATTACAAACAAGATCATCTCGTGCAAAATTAGCCATGAGATACCAACTTATCAGCCGTTCATGAGGCGGTATTTCGACGTCCCAATCAGAGACCAGAACAGGTCCATAAACGGTATGTTCTCCGAGCAGAGCATTTGAACCACGAGTTGTCTTCGGATTTTCGTTTGTATTTCCCCTTTTAAGATGTATTCTGTTATTACAATCGATGAACCCATTCGTATTTAAGATCACGTTACAAAAATTAACAGGTTTTCCAAGCTTAAAGCCCATATACAACCATAAAATATAATCAAACACGGAATTACACGAGATACGTCCGCCATGACTCTATGCAAGTTTGATTATTTCTTCTATTAGGCTGTGACAGTTTGTTAAACTAGTTGCAGTTGTGTATGTGGAGATGTCTTGTTTTGATTGACCTGTTTCCTATAGTTTATCTTTGTGGGCAGGTTTGTTTAAATTTTACATCTGGCTAAGTGCATTATATTTTCTTTTCTTGTAATTTAAATTTTATATTTGGATTGGTTTCTGATTAAACAGTTATTATGTGTTGAAACCAAAACACGATAAACTTATCCCGAAAATGCTGAAAACGGTACTTTACCAATTCTATATTTTTTTTTTTTGGGGGGGGGGGTGGACCATACCGCCGAACCCCCTAAAATTGTGTTGTACTACCATGCATATATCATGTATGCATGCATGCATATTATATTATATTATATTATGTTTGAATGGTCTGCAGATGGAAGATCTTGATATTTACCCATATTATATTATGTATGGATAGCCTGCGAGTCCAATACATTTTCGCATAATTTTATTCCAAATTAAATTTGGGGTTACCATTGTTGTGTTTTTCATAAAAATGCTCAGTTGCTCCTGCAATTATCGGAATTAGGGCAGGGTAAAATTTCTTCGGCTCCTGAGATTTTTTGCCCTCCCCCTGCTCCACCCCTTAAGTAGATATCCTCGCTACGTACGTTACTGCATATTGACGCAGGTTGTTGACAGACAAGACCGGCAATGAGTCGATTATATACGTTAAATAGAATCACATTAGTGCCATCTATATATACCAGTAAAAACTAGTCGCAACCTATAAAAGTGACAGCTTGCTGCAAACCAGTAAGCCGTCACTTTTGAGTCCAGGCCTTCTCTGTCATATTTTGGTGGCAAACTTGCAGCAGGTTGGTAACATTTAGCGAATAGAATATGTCTTCACTCGTGTGTTTCCTTTGAGAAAATTTACCGAATATCGCCAGCGTGAAGAAAAGGAAAATTACAACAAGTTAAGTATATTTAGTGAAGCAAACAACACTTACAGTATAAACAAAATACCGTAATTCTACTTCATTTAATTTTCTGTTTCGCTTTTGCCCTTTTCTTGTGTGGTTCGCTATCCAGAAAATGACGGACATTCCTGGTTGCATCGCGTCGGTATAAGGCAAATTGAAGATATTGTATCTTGCGTTACCTCCAAAATTTGTTACTTACCTCCCTCCGCACTTCCTTACCAATCAATGGTGTTTTCCAAATCCCGACGCTATGATACAACAAAATAATATGGTAATGTTACCCAACATTGAATGAGATGAGATCGAAGTTTGTTACAATTATAGAAATTAGACGTAATAGAAATTTTTTTTCGGAAAATGCTACGAACAAATAGACCGCTAAAAAAACACGATCGGAAATTGTGGCCACAAATTAGCTCCTAAGATGGAAATTAAGCTCCGAAAATTTTTATCGATTTTTACTAGATTATAGCCTACTTCGTCTTTTTATTAATTTCATATGATCATTTGGATCCATACTATCTACGGACTATCAACATGCCGGTTTGCTCAAGAAATACTAATTTTTTCAATGCGAAATTGCTGGAAATTACTTTAATCTTGATGAATTTGGATCGGGTGAGAGATTAATGCATCAACCTTTGTCATATGTTACATGGATGTGTGGGAGATTGCATTCTCATCATTTGTATGACGTATAGTATCCAACATGAGCTCTGCCTTTAAATTTATCATATAAGTAAAATATTCCACAGAAAAAATCCAGACAGCTATATGTAATCGCGGCCATGACTATATTTTATCTCGGGTACGAAATGAACGTTTTAATATTTACTAGTCTTATTAATAGATGTTTTTCCATAGACTATATGATAGTACTTAAATTAATTCATTTTGCATTTTAAACATAGCCTTTAAACTGACACATTTTGTTGCTCATGCAGTATGCATGGCTTCACAATATCTATAAAGCTGGTTGATAGATCATTATTAGGAGCCTTTTTTGAGGTCGATACAATTATTCATTCTTGAATGTTCCCTAATTATTTCACATTTTTTTATTGCGTGTGAGAAATGTTCGTAACTCAGTACTGTTTTTGTCATCGAATTTATCGGTATAAAGCAGTTATAAGCTTCATACACTTTTTATATCGATAAATTTTAACCCTTTAATTAATTTAATTTCCTTTCCCCTTTTCCTTTTCATTTTCGAGCATACTAAGACTGTTAATCTTTTATTATAATACAGATATTATAATACAAATTATGCAGACAAAATATTAGATGCATTTGTATTAAAACATATTTTCAAGTATACGTACCTTGACTTACTTTTAACAGTTAATTGAAAAAAAGATTATCAAAGTTAGCTTGGCTGCCATATTCAAAGTGATCATAATAGCGAACAAGAAGATGCGATGACGAAAATAACACCACTTGAAAAACGTTCTTATTGATATTTTAGAAGGAATGAAACGTACAAGGACTAAATGCTGAGGATAAGTAGAAAAT